ATGCGTATATCGCCTTGTTTTATTCCAGTCATTATGTTACTCCGACGGAACCTCAAAAACAAGACCGCCTTTCACTTACGTGTAGCCATCTTGTCCAGCGGACAGTTTGTCGTGCTGTCGTAAATTTTCGATAACGCTAAATAAATTTCTCTGAACATTGTTATCAGCAAATTTTCCTAAAGTACTTAGGGAAATCCCACCAGTATAAGTCAACCACGATACGTAGTCAAGAACTGCAATTCTGTAAATGCAACTTTTTGACTCATTCATTCTAATCAAATGCCCCTCTGCACAAACTGTGAGTTAGTGCTACTGCTGATAATATAATCAGAATAAATAAGTCAAATTTATCATAAAAATGACAGAGGCAATAGATTGAATCACTTTAAACGAATTTGAGTTATAAATAACGATATGTGAACAGAGATGATATCATTGTGACGGTCCCAATGAAGTCGAAGAGCACTGTAATCTGATACATGCCGAGGTTGAATTGGTGAAAGGTGCATCCAGGCAACGCTCAGGTACGGTGAGAACCACATCTATTAGAAACCTTCCTAACCTAGTCTCTCCGAAAGTTGCTTAACGGAAATCGTGTTTATCAGAGTGTGGACAGAGCTGATCATAAAATGGTCGACGTAGAGAGTTTTCGAATTTGAGGTAAAGGGAAATATCTGATGGTTTACATCACCCTGCACTATCTGCGTTTAAAACAAAACTTGCACAGAAAATTATGCCCGAAATGGTGTGATATTATCCGATACTCAAGCAGTGATTGTTCAGTGTTATCGATGTCCTTACAGAAAACTCTTAGCCACTCTCGGTCTTCCAGTGAAATTTGGAATTGGAAGAACCTGTTCACGATGTCCACAACGACCACTATTCTTTCTTGCCGAAAATGCAATAAAACCTCTTTGTTCGTTGGTAGATACACGTCGCTGTCAAGAGTGGCATTAGTTTAGTTCTTGGTCAATGTCTCGAGGTGTTTCTGATTTTGTGGCAAACATAAGGTTTTCCAATTAGAAAAGAGTGTACCGGATAGGGTATGAGTCAATCGATTGGATTGTCTGATAGGAGTCGTCCTGTCGTTGTTCCTTAGCGTTTTGATGGTTATTTTCATTTTAGAAATACATTCTTAGAATACCGATTATTTTCGCTGTTTGACCGCACAATATTAGATGGTCTCATCAAAGCCAGTAGAGCCGCTTCAATTAGCTCCATAATTTACGGGCAACTCTCGTGAAACATTTTGGAATTCTCCTAGAATTGACCTTCAGTTATCAGAAATGTCTGAAACAAAACAGACTGAAGAGGTTGGTGTTACTCTGAATTCTCCAAATATTTGAGTTAACAAGTCCAGGATAATTGTAAACTGCATCCATTTCATCTTTTAATGATCAAATTCAGTCACCCTGTGAAACCTTGCTTCGAATTAAATTAGGTTTGTGCGGAGAATGTCTCTGATTGTTTAGTTGAAACAAATAACACCGTAACGCGATTCTGAGCACTTGCAGCTTTTTGAGACCGGGGTATTCTAATAAGCAATTGCTGTTTTGAGGGTAATTTCAAGAAGTGGACCACGGCCCGTTCGATAATGTTCAATCTGTTATTCCGTTGCCCAAACAGTTTTGCTTTTTATCCAGTGGTTGGTAAGAAACGTGAGAGTATTTGAACAAAATATCGTGTCGGCATGATCAATAATTACTCTCTCTGTCACTCACTAGTCCTCTTCATCTCCTTCTTTTTCACGTGTGATAACTACCAACATCACCGTTCCTGGAGTGCCGTCATGCCAAAATGGATATTCACAGCGTACCAGAAGAGTTCAAATTTTTGAATGCTTGGTTCTACACTAAGTCATTTTCTTTTGACTGTAGGTGGATGAGCCAAGTGATCTGTTCGATTCCGTCTTCAGTTGTTCAGAATAGTCTTGAAGACTTCGCTGCAGATGATAATGATGATGAGTACGATAATAATAATGATGACGATGAAGATGATGATGATGAAGATGATGATGATGAATTGGATTATGATGATGATTGGGATGATGATGATGTTTCGGTTGATGATGATATTGATTATCATTGTTATTATTATTATAATTGTTATTATTCTTATTATTATTATTATTCGGACATTGATGATGATTATTTTTATTATTATTCTTATCATTATTATTCGTATGGTGATGATGATATTGATGATCATGATTTTGATCATGATGATGAGGATGGTTGGTATTCGCACATCAAAACCTTATGTTTGAGCATTCAGCGTCGGGTCGCATGTGAGTTGGGCAAACGGGATTGTTGACAGTATTTGAAAACCGTAATAGAATCTGGTTGTTCATCCTGATGGATGATTATATACGAAACCTGTGAGTGGGTTATATTCTGTTTATTAAATAATTGTATTTTTGTGGCAGATGTTTCCAACCAACAGGTTTTCTCAAATTCAGTCGGAATGTTCTGATAAGATTTGGGTAAAATAAACCAAACATACAAGAGCGGATGCGAATGGTATATGAGAGTGAAAAATGAAAAAAATATATAAACCGAACTTGGAAAGTAATTCCTATTTTATTCTTGTCCTTATTGGTCGGTAGTTGCACCAGATACTGCAAAAGAGTGATTTTGTTTACCGTAATTCTGGATGGTGTCAAAATTCAGATCTGATGGATGAGACAGTACGAAAAAAGATAAGTTAGAGTATAATATATGCGCTGGATATTTTCATACCTTGTGAGCTATGGCTTCGCAAGTTTCAGTACTTTGTTTGACTGGTTCATTCAAGAAAATGTTATACGGGAGGAGCGAAATGCGACTAATAATTGCCAGTTCGCGTTGAAATGCTCTGAAGTCTTTTTTAAAAGACCTGGAAAAATTATGGGGGAATATTACGATAAGGCCGAAAAACCGCAGTGAAGAAGAAAATTTGGAACCAAATGTCAGTTGTGTACGAAACTGCCTGAGTTTTCTTATTTGGAAAGACGGGCTTTGCAGTTTACCGACACAGTGTTGAATGAGAGATGTCTATTTTAAATTGATGTTTAGGTTAACATTCACATGCTTGGTGAAATTGATTCCGGGTGGGGATTTGGAATTCAATGCAACAGGATCTATGGGGAAAGATGAGTGCGAGAGACTGAAAACAAATTCAAGGTATTTAGATGAATTCAGTTTTAGTCCCAAATGAGAAGATAAACTTTTTACTCGGGGTCAGATTTCCTCGAAATTCCTGAATCATGTGATTAGAAATAGCTTTGCTTAGGAAAGAGTCAATTGTGTACGCAATTATGTTGGATGGAGATGATACCGGGAGATTGCTTATGTGGATTGAAAATAGAAAAGGGGACAGCGCTGCATCCTGGATTAAATCGGAATCGGTAACAAGTGGTTTTGGAATGTTTGCCCAAACCTAGTTTGCAGAATTTGATTTACAAAATAGTTCAACAGTCAGGAAAGAATTTTGGCCTAGCAATCGAAAGCTTCGAGCTTCTAGAAAAGACGAGATCGAGATATTGAATCAAAAGCTGAAGAGTATTCGTCGAATACGCAGTGGACAGATGGCTCAGAGTTTTCTTAAAAGATTTAGTGATGAAATGAACAAAGCAGCCTTCAGCGTCAAGAGTGGATCTTTTTGGTTTAAGGCGAAACCTAAAAGATTCAGGAGGCACACTCAGATGTGTTTTGAAAATAGCTGAAAAAAGTCTCTTCAGTAATTTCGATGGCGGCAGCTAGGGGGAGAATGGGGTGAAGCCGTTTTTTCTCCACCAGTAGTGCTAAATCTTTAGGGACTTGAAACGGCAGTAACTGGAAGTCGCAGATCAGGAGTCGAACATCTGGATGGAAACTCATTTCTTAAAATAGCATTTGGTGTGGCAAGTTGAGAAGCACCATACTTGACAATCGCTAGAGGAGGACCATCAGGACCAGCAGCTGACGAAGATTTGGGTTCGAGAGTAATTTTTAAATTGTTTTCCATGTAGTTAACTTTATCAATCAAGACGTGAAACGGAAGATATGATTGTGATAAAAGCCAGATATGGGGTTGTTTCGAATTATGTGCAATCATCTGAATTATAATGATACGAACTCTGATTTGTCCAGTTGGACACAGAAACTATTTTGGTGACAACACCCCACGAGGGCGCTCATTGTTCTCATGGACGACCAATACGCCAGTTCTGCTGATGTGTTTGAGTGGTGGTGGTCATAAATTCTCACGCACCAATGAGGCTTGAGTAAGAAATAAATAAATGCTAGAAATGCCTAATTTAGCAGATGGTGTGAAAGACTTTGCATCATTAACTCCCATAACTTCGTTTCTACTTTTGGGGGATGTCAATGTGTCAAAACCGACAATATAACCCTTGTTTCTCAGTCGTTGGAAATAAAAGTAACGTATGAAAAAACATCTGGAAACTGTTGGTTCTGTTGTAAACTTCTGGAATGCGAACAAGAACACAGATATTCTGTGTACCAGAAAGTGCAAATATTGTCATCACATTGATGAGAACGCTTACAGCTAATTTGAAGTTTGACCCTACCGAACTATTCATCTATGTTCATGGCCTAATGGTCTGAGTACTACAGACATAACAAAGTCACGAATGGCAACTCAAGTCTCCACCTGTTATCCTCTCTTTACATGCGGAAACACGTGATTCCAGTGGATGGTAACAACATGGACCACCTTGGAATCTAAATGAGCTGAAACGATTCATTTAGATACAATCACATCCAACCTGCTGAGTCTTGCTTGAATGTGTTACCTAGAAACAAAACTAACTGGTAGGTGGTGCTCAGTTCCCAGAAGCCTGAATGGTGCATATTTTCCGATAGAAATAAGAACTAGTGATCTGTCGATAAACGAAAATTAATTGGAATTTGTGAGACAAACATGAAAATGGCGTAACACTCATTTTGGGCCAATAGAAGTGCAAGTGATGGAAGTGCGTATTATAAAAGCACGAAAAATACTCCATGCAATATAGAAAAATGAAGTATTTCATTTTCCTCATTGTTATATTGTGCGTGCTGTATTTACAACAGGCAGGTAAGTGAATCTGAAATTGATTTTGCGTAACTATTGACGAGCTATGGCAGCCATGGCATTTTCTAACTCTCTGAAAGCACACTGTTTGATTTGTATACGTTCGTGACAAAACATCATGACAACAGTCACAGGTATTCAAAATGTGGGATAAACACTGCCATCTCCAGTAAAGCTATGCCAAATTAGGAATTTAGTGAAGAACCGTGTCCCGAGTAACAAAATTCGAATGGGACACCCATAGATTTGAATGTCAGAGAAAAGTATTTATTACTAGTAAAAGATTCAATACTTACGAGATGAACTGAATGACGAAAACTGAAAAATCTGTTTGGACAAGACATCGCAATAAGCAAGAAAAAATATAGTCAGATAAAGAAACGAAATCGGAAAAATCGGCAAATGCCAGGAAGATAAAGTGAAAAAGTGGTAGAATGAAAACAAAAACAATGAGAAGATTATATATATATATATCTATATATATATATATATATATATATATATATATATATATATATATATATATATTTAAGCGTGAATATATACATATATGTATATAAACTGTGGATGGAAATCGGCAAAAAAAGCAAACAATTATCATATACGAAAAGAAAAGGCACTCAAGAGCTACCGTTTCATTTTCTTAAAATTACCAAAAACAGCAACGCAAGACGAGAGGCTGAACGGCGAGAATGTAAGTTAAATAAATTTGAAATTCACATATAAGTTATTCATTGCAAACTGTCAACATCTGCATATAATACAGAAAAGAATTTAACCCACATATATATGCAAACATTTGCAATAGAATCATAACCAAGGAAACGAAGAAATGGTGAGTCAAACAAGTGATAAAATTCCAGCGAGTAGCACAAAAATGAAATGGAGAAAAAACCAGTTCATTTACAGTAGAAAACCAAAAACAATACAAAAGGAAATGAGGCAGCACAGTAAAAATACACACATTGGCCATCATGCTGTGTTCTCTTCCCAATTCCATCAACTTGATCAGTCTCCAAGCCACAACGAGCATTTCCTATTCCCATTGTTCTTCTTAGTCTTATTATTTAATACGCCCACATTATTCAACTAGTTAGATCAATTTGCAATTTGCTCGTCCATTGATTCTCATTTCCCAACAGATAGAATATCTATCTACCTACCTATCCCATTCCACATTCGAATGGAGAATGAGGGAGAGCAATTGTGTGTCCTGACAAATTAGTCTCACCAATGTTCCAATAGAATAGATTTCCACACACACACACAATTCTACAATGATGTGATCAGTGGACACGCATCACCAGCCCTTCATTCAATCAATATATCATTATCTCATTCAATCATTCACTCAGTCATTCATACACTCAATGAAACATAAATTCATTCATCCTCTCACTCATTCAAACAATGTAATTATTCAAAATGCACGCACTGTGAAGCCCAATTCGATCTGCAACAGCACACATCACTCACACATATGTGAGACAAGACTAATTCACTTCACTAGATTTCTTCATTCATTCTACATTTTCCCCATTTCTCCCTTCTTCGTTTCTTTGTTTCCTTGTTTGTTTTGCACAGAAAAAGAAGGAAGAGGAGGTGAGATGATCACCTGGATCAGTATGATTATGTTTGTTCTTATTCGAACAGTTATAATTATTATAATAATATTATCATTTTCATTATCATTATCATTATTCATAATCAAAAATGATAGTATGAATAATATTCAGGATAACTGTAAAAATAATATTAATAATATTATTAATAATAATAATGATAAGATTCATGTGATACACCAGACCAAGCTTCTACCACACATTGGCCATCATGCTGTGTTCTCTTCCCAATTCGATCAATTTGATCAGTCTCCAAGCCACAACGAGCATTTCCTATTCCCATTGTTCTTCTTAGTCTTATTATTTAATACGCCCACATTATTCAACTAGTTAGATCAATTTGCAATTTGCTCGTCCATTGATTCTCATTTCCCAACAGATAGAATATCTATCTACCTACCTATCCCATTCCACATTCGAATGGAGAATGAGGGAGAGCAATTGTGTGTCCTGACAAATTAGTCTCACCAATGTTCCAATTGAATAGATTTCCACACACACACACACACAAACACACACACACACACACACACACACACACACAATTCTACAATGATGTGATCAGTGCACACGCATCACCAGCCCTTCATTCAATCAATATATCATTATCTCATTCAATCATTCAATCAGTCATTCATACACTCAATGAAACATAAATTCATTCATCCTCTCACTCATTCAAACAATGTAATTATTCAAAATGCACGCACTGTGAAGCCCAATTCGATCTGCAACAGCACATATCACTCACACATATGTGAGACAAGACTAATTCACTTCACTAGATTTCTTCATTCATTCTACATTTTCCCCATTTCTCCCTTCTTCGTTTCTTTGTTTCCTTGTTTGTTTTGCACAGAAAAAGAAGGAAGAGGAGGTGAGATGATCACCTGGATCAGTATGATTATGTTTGTTCTTATTCGAACAGTTATAATTATTATAATAATATTATCATTTTCATTATCATTATCATTATTCATAATCAAAAATGATAGTATGAATAATATTCAGGATAACTGTAAAAATAATATTAATAATATTAATAATAATAATAATGATAAGATTCATGTGATACACCAGACCAAGCTTCTACCACACATTGGCCATCATGCTCTGTTCTCTTCCCAATTCGATCAATTTGATCAGTCTCCAAGCCACAACGAGCATTTCCTATTCCCATTGTTCTTCTTAGTCTTATTATTTAATACGCCCACATTATTCAACTAGTTAGATCAATTTGCAATTTGCTCGTCCATTGATTCTCATTTCCCAACAGATAGAATATCTATCTACCTACCTATCCCATTCCACATTCGAATGGAGAATGAGGGAGAGCAATTGTGTGTCCTGACAAATTAGTCTCACCAATGTTCCAATAGAATAGATTTCCACACACACACACACACACACACACACACACAATTCTACAATGATGTGATCAGTGAACACGCATCACCAGCCCTTCATTCAATCAATATATCATTATCTCATTCAATCATTCAATCAGTCATTCATACACTCAATGAAACATAAATTCATTCATCCTCTCACTCATTCAAACAATGTAATTATTCAAAATGCACGCACTGTGAAGCCCAATTCGATCTGCAACAGCACATATCACTCACACATATGTGAGACAAGACTAATTCACTTCACTAGATTTCTTCATTCATTCTACATTTTCCCCATTTCTCCCTTCTTCGTTTCTTTGTTTCCTTGTTTGTTTTGCACAGAAAAAGAAGGAAGAGGAGGTGAGATGATCACCTGGATCAGTATGATTATGTTTGTTCTTATTCGAACAGTTTTAATTAATATAATAATATTATCATTTTCATTATCATTATCATTATTCATAATCAAAAATGATAGTATGAATAATATTAAGGATAACTGTAACAATAATATTAATAATAATAATAATGATTAGATTCATGTGATACACCAGACCAAGCTTCTACCACACATTGGCCATCATGCTGTGTTCTCTTCCCAATTCGATCAATTTGATCAGTCTCCAAGCCACAACGAGCATTTCCTATTCCCATTGTTCTTCTTAGTCTTATTATTTAATACGCCCACATTATTCAACTAGTTAGATCAATTTGCAATTTGCTCGTCCATTGATTCTCATTTCCCAACAGATAGAATATCTATCTACCTACCTATCCCATTCCACATTCGAATGGAGAATGAGGGAGAGCAATTGTGTGTCCTGACAAATTAGTCTCACCAATGTTCCAATTGAATAGATTTCCACACACACCCACAATTCTACAATGATGTGATCAGTGGACACGCATCACCAGCCCTTCATTCAATCAATATATCATTATCTCATTCAATCATTCAATCAGTCATTCATACACTCAATGAAACATAAATTCATTCATCCTCTCACTCATTCCAACAATGTAATTATTCAAAATGCACGCACTGTGAAGCCCAATTCGATCTGCAACAGCACATATCACTCACACATATGTGAGACAAGACTAATTCACTTCACTAGATTTCTTCATTCATTCTACATTTTCCCCATTTCTCCCTTCTTCGTTTCTTTGTTTCCTTGTTTGTTTTGCACAGAAAAAGAAGGAAGAGGAGGTGAGATGATCACCTGGATCAGTATGATTATGTTTGTTCTTATTCGAACAGTTATAATTATTATAATAATATCATAATTTTCATTATCATTATCATTATTCATAATCAAAAATAATAGTATGAATAATATTAGGGATAACTGTAACAATAATATTATTAATAATAATAATGATAAGATTCATGTGATACACCAGACCAAGCTTCTACCACACATTGGCCATCATGCTGTGTTCTCTTCCCAATTCGATCAATTTGATCAGTCTCCAAGCCACAACGAGCATTTCCTATTCCCATTGTTCTTCTTAGTCTTATTATTTAATACGCCCACATTATTCAACTAGTTAGATCAATTTGCAATTTGCTCGTCCATTGATTCTCATTTCCCAACAGATAGAATATCTATCTACCTACCTATCCCATTCCACATTCGAATGGAGAATGAGGGAGAGCAATTGTGTGTCCTGACAAATTAGTCTCACCAATGTTCCAATAGATTAGATTTGCAAACACACACACACACACACGCACACACAATTCTACAATGATGTGATCAGTGCACACGCATCACCAGCCCTTCATTCAATCAATATATCATTATCTCATTCAATCATTCACTCAGTCATTCATACACTCAATGAAACATAAATTCATTCATCCTCTCACTCATTCAAACAATGTAATTATTCAAAATGCACGCACTGTGAAGCCCAATTCGATCTGCAACAGCACATATCACTCACACATATGTGAGACAAGACTAATTCACTTCACTAGATTTCTTCATTCATTCTACATTTTCCCCATTTCTCCTTTCTTCGTTTCTTTGTTTTCTTGTTTGTTTTGCACAGAAAAAGAAGGAAGAGGAGGTGAGATGATCACCTGGATCAGTATGATTATGTTTGTTCTTATTCGAACAGTTATAATTATTATAATAATATTATCATTTTCATTATCATTATCATTATTCATAATCAAAAATGATAGTATGAATAATAATAAGGATAACTGTAACAATAATAATAATAATAATAATAATGATAAGATTCATGTGATACACCAGACCAAGCTTCTACCACACATTGGCCATCATGCTGTGTTCTCTTCCCAATTCGATCAATTTGATCAGTCTCCAAGCCACAACGAGCATTTCCTATTCCCATTGTTCTTCTTAGTCTTATTATTTAATACGCCCACATTATTCAACTAGTTAGATCAATTTGCAATTTGCTCGTCCATTGATTCTCATTTCCCAACAGATAGAATATCTATCTACCTACCTATCCCATTCCACATTCGAATGGAGAATGAGGGAGAGCAATTGTGTGTCCTGACAAATTAGTCTCACCAATGTTCCAATTGAATAGATTTCCACACACACACACACACAAACACACACACACACACACACACACACACACAATTCTACAATGATGTGATCAGTGCACACGCATCACCAGCCCTTCATTCAATCAATATATCATTATCTCATTCAATCATTCAATCAGTCATTCATACACTCAATGAAACATAAATTCATTCATCCTCTCACTCATTCAAACAATGTAATTATTCAAAATGCACACACTGTGAAGCCCAATTCGATCTGCAA